TGCACAAAGGTTTTCTTGTTGTACTAAGAGAGGTTCTTTCCACCAGAGGTTATTAGTTAAGTATTCTGGTTTCATGTTCAGTTGAATTTTTCCTAAACTATATCCAATGATACAGTCATATATGATAGTTCTGTATAATAAATTTTTCTTGCATGCCTTGCAATATGTGTGAACGTGATGATTTTCAGTATCACATGAGAAGGTGCATTGTGATCCTTTTTTGGTGATGGGTTATCTAGCAATTACTTGTTTACCTTTATGTTCTCACGGTAGATTTCCTCTAATTCATTATTTAAAGATTTATACCTAATAACCTAATAGCAATAATTAAGACGGTATTAGAGTATTGTCGAGATAATTCCTCTTTGAACCATTCCTCACTTTCTCCAGATTTGGGAGAAGAAATATGCCATTCTATATTTTCCTTTATACTATTATTTTCATATTCATCATCAGCTATATCCGTTTCAGTAAGGTCAATAATAAAGCATTCAGCAGTTTTTTCGTCATACATGCGGGACAATACATCGGCATTTGCATTATGTTTTCCTGCTCTATATTCAATGGTAAAATGATGTTGTTGCCAGTTCCATGATCCATCTAGCACGTCTTCATTTTGGCATTTTTGAGGTTTTTAGCCATTTTAGAGCAGCATGATCAGTCACGATAGTAAATGGTCAACTAAGGTAATGATGAAAATGCTTGATTGACCAAACAATTGCTAGACACTCTAAGTCAGTGATGGGATAATTTTTTCAGTTTTGTTGGTTGATCTGCTAGCATATGCAATAACATATTCCTTTCCATCCTTCTTCTGAGATAATACAGCACTTAATCCTTTCTTTAAAGCATCGGTATATAAAGTAAAAGGTATTTGAAAGTCTGGGTACTGTAAGATTGGTGCCTTAATAAGCCTTTCTTTTAGTCAGTCAAAGGCATGTTGTTGTTTTTCTCTCCATTCAAAGGGCTGATTTTTCTTTAATAATAAAGTCAATAGCTTGGCATGTCATACAAAATCTTTAATAAATTTTCAGTAGTAATCAAATAATCCTAATGCAGCACATAGTTGAGTTAGATTTTTTGGTTCTGGGAATTCTTCAATTTTCTTAATCTTCTCTGGATCAGGTTGAATTCCTCTTTGTCTTACGATATGTCTTAAGTATGCTAATGAAGGTTGATAGAAATAGCACTTCTTTAATTTTATCGCAAAATGAGTATCTTTAAAAGCTTGAAATACTTGTTTAATATGATCAATATATAATTCAAAAGGTCCTTTTGTATAGATGATTACATCATCAAGGTAAACTGATACAAACAATCCAAGGAAGTCTTTTAGAATCCAGTTCTTAAGCCTCTGAAATGTTTCAGGTGCATTATTTAATACAAAGGGCATGACTAGGAATTTGTACAAGCCATTTGCTGTGTTAAAAGCAGTTTTCTCAATATCGTCAGGATGCATGGTTACTTACCAATAACTACTAGCTAAGTCGAGGGTAGTGAACCAATTGGCTTCACCTAATGAGTTCAATAAGTCATCAATTCTTGGTAATGGATACGCGTCAATTTTTGTGACAGCATTGACTTTTCGATAATCAATACATAGTCTTTTTTCACCTCCTTTCTTTCCTACAATTACGACAGGTAAGGCCCATGGATTATAGGAAGGTCGAATTATACCATTTTCTTCCTTTTTCTTTAATTCTTGATTCAGGAATCTGGTATTTTCAGGATTAGTTCGATATGGTTTTTGAGCAATTGGCATAGCTATTCCAGTATAGATACGATGCTTGATTTCTGTTATTCTTCCTATATCTGTTTGACTCCTTGCGCAAATATCGTAGTATTCTCCTAACAGATTCATAAAAGTCTGTTGTTGATAGTAGTCCAAAGGTCCTAGTTACTCCAAGTACGTTGGATCAGTTTTAGCAGTATATTCTGCGACTTCAGCAAGATAGGCAGCTGGGTTGTCTTCTATTGGTTCTTCTAATTCTCCATTATCATCAGTATTCTCTTCAGATTAAATAGGAGAGTAATGATCAGACCATGGGTTGAATCCTAACTCATCGTCTAATTCTGATTCTTTTCAACAACACGTTACCTTATCTATTTCTTCAAGAGTATATACTGAAACCTTAGAACAAGACCTAATAAGACCTATAGCAGATCAATGATTATTACAACAGCTTGTTGCTTCCTCAACACCTTCTGCATCTAGCTTAACAAACTTATCCTAACTCACCCCCAGTTGAAATGGAAATCATGGCCACAGGAAATGAAATGAGAGCCATTTTCCAAGAAATTTTTGGAACTGACAGATAACACTTAATAGATATTAGTGAATGACTTCGATTAGCACAAAGAGGAGAAAGATCTACTATCAAAGTTGACTATTATTCAGGAGCTGAAAATGAAGATCCTGTAGAGTGGCTCACTGCATTCAAAAGAGTCACCATTACTAACAGGTAGACTGATGAAGCACAAAAGAAAGCCCTTGCTGGAGGACACCTCAGAGGTGCAGCAGCCGACTGGTTTGATAGCATTACTGCTGCCATGGGAGATCATTGGAATATTAGAACAAATAGTGGTCAAAACTTTGTAGATTTATTTAAAGCTCGTTTTATTAGCGAGACCAAGAAAAATTAATAGCATCAGGAGTTAACTTCTTTACGTCAACAAACAGATGAGTCTGTAGATTCTTATGCTAAAAAATTCAAGAAATTAGTGACTCGCGTAGGATTAACAGATGATGCACAGAAGAAAAAGATGTTTCTTATGAGACTGAATCCTGCCTACACTCCCCTAGTCTACTCACAAAATCCAGCTGATTTAGATGCCACTGTAAATTCTGCAAGAACTATTGAAATTGGATATAATTTCACCTCTGGAAAAGCACCCAAAGATATTAGTATTACCACAGCTTTCACTCCTAAAAACGTGATTACTAATGCTAAAGTGGATGAACTCACTAAGAAGTTAGAACAATGATCTATTAATTATGCCAACCTGATGACTGCCTTATTAGCTCAACCTCAACAACCACCAAGGAGACGAATCGAGAGATCCTAAAATGATACTAATAGAAGATCTAGACAAAATATGTCTTCCATGACTTGTTACAATTGTAACAGAGAAGGTCATATAGCTAGATATTGTTCTCAACCTCGTCAATAACCAAGAGAAACTGATAGAAGACCTCGTTATGATAATACAAGAGATGTAAATCTTGCTGACCAATATTATGAGGAGGAATACAATGATGAGGAATATACTTCAGAAGAATATTATGAAGAAGATGAATATGAAGTCTATCCTAACACTAGGTCTGGACCTTACCCAAAGAATGCTGTATCGAAAAATAAACGAAGACCAGTAAAGTTTCAAAACCCACCCAAAATAAACGTTAAAGAATTAGAAATGGAAGAACCAACACCAGAACCCGTGGTCGAACCAGTTAGAACTGAAAAAGCATTAAAAGCTCCTAAAAGGAGGTTGTTACCTGCTCCTATTGAACAACTAATGGAATTTAATGTCTCAACTTATTTACAAAATCTACCATGTGGACTCTCAGTAGGACAAGCCGCACATGCTATCCCAAATATCGTTCTAGTTTAGCTCGAGCTGTCAGACGTTCAAAAGAAAGAACTACTGATGAAACTAAAGAAGCTAATTTAGTAGAGAGTGATGATGAACCAACCTCTGCAGCGAAATGCACTTTGAGGATTGGACAAAAAGCTCAAACTGCAATTATTGATAGTGGAGCTGCTACCAGTATCATAACCAGAGTCTTAGTAGAAAAACTAAGATATAAAATTAATCGACCTTCAAAAATGATAGTAGTAACAGCGAATGGTACAAAGACTCGCTCCCTTAGAATTATTGACAATGTACCAGTAAAGATTGGAAAAATTAATGTACCCACTTCCTTTCAAGTACTCAAATCCAAAGATGAAATCCTTATACTTGGAAACGATTGGCTCAGAGTAACCAATGCTACTATGAGTTGAGAACAATCCATCCTTACTATTAAACGAGATGGAATTACTATGAAAATTCCTATTGCATTTATTAAAACAGCTAAAGTTGTGACCCAAGAAGCTGAAGATGAATATGAAAGTGAAGAATATGAGGATAAATATTTAGAAGAATATCCTATCTATTTATCTGACAATGTTGACTCAGAAGAATCAGAGTTGGATGATTAGTTGGGATTCAACCCATGGTCTAATCATTACTCTCCTATTCAATCTGAAGAGGATACTGACGATAATGGAGAATTAGAAGAACCAATAGAAGACAACCCAGCTGCCTATTTTGCTGAAGTCACAGGATATACTGCTAAAACTGATCCAACGTACTTGAAGCAGCTAGGACCTTTGGACTACTATCAGTAACAGACTTTTATGAATTTGTTAGGAGAATACTACGATATTTGTGTAAGAAGTCAAACAGATATAGGAAGAACAACAGAGATCAAGCACTGTATCTATACTGGAACAGCTATGCCAATTACTCAAAAACCATATTGAACGAATCCTAAAAACACCAGATTTTTGAATCAAAAGCTAAAGAAAATGGAAGAAAATGGTATCATTCGACCCTCATATAGTCCATGGGCCTTACCTGTAGTAATTGTAGGAAAGAAAGGAGGCGAAAAAAGATTATGTGTCGATTATTGAAAAGTTAATGCTGTCACAAAAATTGACACATATCCATTACCAAGAATCGATGACTTATTGGACTCACTAGGAGGAGCCAATTGGTTCACTACCCTCGACTTAGCTAGTGGTTATTGGCAAGTAGCCATGCATCCCGATGATATTGAGAAAACTGCTTTTATCACAGCAAATGGCTTGTACGAATTCTTAGTCATGCCCTTCGGATTAAATAATACACCTGGAACATTTCAAAGGCTTATGAACTGGATTCTAAAAGACTTTTTTAGATTATTTGTATTAGTCTATCTTGATGATATAATCATCTATACAAAAGGACCTTTTGAATTACATGTCGATCATGTTAAACAAGTGTTCTAAGCCTTTAGGGATGCTCACCTGGCGATAAAGTTAAAGAAGTGTTACTTTTGCCAATCTTTCTTAGCATTTTTAGGATATATCGTAGGACAAGGAGGAATTCAACTTGATTCAGAGAAGATTAAGAAAATTGAAGAATTCCCAGAACCAAAAAGTCTAACTCAACTACGTGCTACATTAGGATTATTTGGTTACTACCAATAATTTATTAAAGATTTTGCATGATATGCCAAGCTGTTGACTTTATTATTAAAGAAAGATCAGCCCTTTGAATGGAGAGAAAAACAATAACATGCCTTTGATCGATTAAAGGAAAGGTTTATTAAAGCACCAATCTTGCAGTATCTAGATTTCGAGATACCTTTTACTTATATACTGATGCTTCAAAGAAAGGATTAAGTACTGTACTCTCTTAGAAGAAGGATGGAAAAGAATATGTTATTGCATATGCTAGTAGATCGACCAACAAAACTGAGGAAAATTACCCTATCACTGACTTAGAATGTCTAGCAATTGTTTAGTCAATTAAACACTTTCATCATTATCTTAGTTGACCATTTACTATCGTTACCGATCATGCTGCTCTAAAATGGCTAAAAACCTCAAAAATACCAAAAGGAAGACATGCTAGATGGATTATGGAATTACAACAACATCACTTTACTATAGAACATAGAGCGGAAAAATATAATGCAAATGTTGATGCATTGTCTCGCATGTATGACGAAGAAACAGCTAAATGTTTCCTTATTGACCTAACTGAAACAGATATAGCTGATGATGAGGATGAAAACATTAGTATAAAGGAAGATACAGAATGGCATATTTCTTCTCTTGAATCAGGAGAAAATGACCAATGGTTTGAAGAGGAATTGTCTCAACAATACTCTAATACTGTCCTAATAACCGTTATTGGGTATAAATCTCCTAATGATAAATTAGAAGAAATTTACCATGAAAATATAAAAATTAAACAAGTGATCGCAGGACAACCTATCACCAAAGGAGGATCACAATGCACCTTCTCATGTGATACTGAAAACCATCATGTTCACACATATTGCAAGGCATGCAAGAAAAATTTATTGTACGGAACTATCATACATGACTGTATCATCAGATATGGTTTAGAAAAAATTCAACTGGACATGAAACCAGAATACTTAACTAATGACTCTAGTGGGAAGAACCTCTCTTAGTACAACAAGAAAACCTTTGTATACAATTACACTTTCACCTCGGTAACATTGATAATGCACCCCTCTCCCCCTCTTATTAAATTAATCATTAATATAATATAAAGAATTAAGTGAAAGCGAAAGTGTTTACAGCGTGATAAACAGCTTAAATTCTTAATCATGAAAGAACAACAATATAATCAACTATTTAATTATTTAATCAACCAAACATACCCAACTACTTTCAATCAAATACAACAACATAAATTAATCATATTATCAAGACATTATATTATCAAACATAATTTATTATACAAAATTAACAAGAATAACCCAAGTAACCTAATTAGAGTACTCAAGAAAATGGAATTTAGCCTTTGTAAAATGAAAATTAAAACTTTTCAAATATATACCATCAGATATTTTTTATTCCAATTACTTTTATAATTTAACTCAACTATTTAACATCTATTACAAAACTTCAGTAATACTTTACTTTAAATGTCTAATGAAGTTAATATCATGGATAAGACTTTCTATTTTCACTCATTTCAGTTACAGAACCAAGAATGGCATTTCAAAAACCCTTTGTTCTATTGGCTATTTAAAATTTCTTTAACATCAGATGATTAGTTCTCCTCACTTCTGAGTGCTCTTAATAAAGTTGATATCAATCTTATTATTTCTGATTCCTTTCAAAACATTATAATTAGTGGAAGCATACCTATTTCTGATATTATTACAATAGATTATAGAAAGTATATTAATTCCCTAAGGAATTGCTCTTTAATTTATATTGAATAATTGGTCAGCTACAGAGGCAACTTTATAAAGACTTTAATAATATTATATGATCTGATATTCACCTTTTTAAAATATCTAAATAGTATCCATTAATGGAACAAATTTTAAAGTTGAATAATGATAGATTAGATCTTACCACTAACACATTCATATAATCATAATTATTATTATGGATACAATATTCACCAACTTTTTTCTATACCTAAAATATCAAACATCATAGTTGTTTAGAATACTATTACCAATTCTTTTATCTTTAGTAGAGTGATTCTTATTGAAAACAATATAGTTCATCTTGTGCACTATATTCCTCTCATTGGTCCTTATAACTTCACAGTATTAAAATCATGTGATTGCTGTCAACTACACCAAACCTCAGCTTTAACTTTGTGAGGCTTTCACAATAAATATTATGTAGAACTTTATAATTAAAGCTAATTAACTTAAAAAATTAATTGATTTACAGCATTTTTTATATATGATAAAATGACAAATTGTAATATAATTAAGCATATCATGTTTTATATGTAATTATTCCTGAATAACTTTAAGAATTGGGTCTTATTGAGTAAACTCAAACTTTAAATGCATTTCATTACATTTAAGAAACAAGAAAAATTTCAGGTGAATTATTTTTATTTTTATTTTTTACTAATATAAAATTTCATATGTAACATATTGATCTTATCAAATTACAATTATTACAAATAGTTATTATTTATTCACTTTTGTGACTATTTATCTTTCCTTAAATTTTTTAAATACTTTTACATATTATATTTATATCATATTTTATATTTTAATCAAGATTTTATTTTTTTTTGTTATCATGCATTCGTTTCACATAAATATATATATATATGTATATTAATTAAGATATCATCATTTTAATTGGCATTATCGCCAGGCATTTCAGTTCATCATTGAACAATTTATTTATTTTTATTTATTATTATATATTTTTACTTTAATTGGTTTGAGGTTGTTTTTAAAAGTAATTCACAAATTTTTGTTAAAGCTATTAATACTGTTCATCTTTCAGCTAATTCAGCAAAATCAAAATCAGTCTTCAAACTATTACTAATCAGCCATTTTTAACCTCAACTTTCTGTATTTTTAGTAGGCTATTTACAAGCTCTATCAAATATAATGCAGGAATTATAGCTTTATAAAAAGTAACATATGTAGAGATCACTTGAATAGCCTATAATGTTTGATTTTTTAGTATTTCACTGAGATATATATTCTCACTACTACAAGTAAGAATCTTTACAGCAATCTGTGATTCCCAAAAATCAGTGGCATATTCTACATTTTTCAGATTTTTGTTCTGTAAAAAAATGGTTAAGTCAATGAAATTCAGAACTTTTTAAATGATTAATAGCATATAGACCTCTACTACAAGAACAAAAATGTTTTACTTCTTTATTATAAATTTGATGTCTAATGATATAATAGATTTATCACTAATGTATATTGTACATGGTTTATGAATTCTAGATTGAGAGAAGCAAACTTTAAGAATATATAATCATCATATCTAAAGAATTTCTCTAATAATAACATAATCTTTAAGGCCAAGTATTAAATCTAGTAATGCAGAGCAGATTATCTATTAATAAATCAGTATGAGCTTTACTTGTCCTTATTAATTGAATTGAATTCTTAGTGATATTGTGCAGTTTATCAATAAATGTTAGAATATTACCATCCAACATTCTCTCAAGATTGTTGACATTGAAATTTGGTAATCTTAGCAATTGTCTATTAATTTTTGTGAGAACATATTCACTCAGAAAATTGATGATTAGAAAACACTTAAATAATAAAATCAGATTATGTATTGAGAAAAATAATAATAAATAAAATATAGCTTATACCTTCAATATCAGGTATAATAATATTCTCAGATAAAGCTTCTCAGAAAGTCACTTTCATTGCTTTCATATCTCATATTTTAAACCTGAACATCGAAGAAGGTAGGTCTTTTACACTATAATTAGAAGTGAAAGTGAAACTAAGCCCAAGCTTATGGATAGTGTTTGCAAAATCTGAATCTTGTCTGTTAAGGTGATCTGATTGTTATAAAGATGCAGAATAGCTTTCAATTTTATTTTCAAATTTTTTCTAAAGAATTTTCATTTTCATTTTCATTTTTTTGTTTTTTTGAAACCTTTGGATGAATTTCACTTCTAATGTTTTTTCATTTATGTTTTTGTTTTTTATCATTATAATTAAAATAAAAGCTATTGTGAGAAATAATATTACTGGAAAAAATTTTTCATACAATTTCTATGGTGTAATTACTTTATATATCAAAAAATTAAAATTTATAGCGTTAATCAATTTCTATTGTTGTGATCATATTTAATTAACTATTTGAGCGTCCAAAGCATTCAAAATTATTAAATTAAATTAATTAATTAATTATTTTATGAATTAAGTATTTCTGCCTAATTCTCCTTTAAAAATTCATTAATATCATCATCATTTATCACTAAGAAAATAATTATTGTTAATAAATACATAAAGAAAAAATAGAGATTAAATAACCATACCTATATGTTTGAACTTTTCTATAGCCATCTGGTAATATCATTCCAATACAAGGATACAAATTATTTTTTATATCTTAAAATGACAATACCTTAAATATACAATAAACAATAAATGCTTATTATTTGATTTAAAAGAACTAAACATTAAAGATAGAATAATAACTACCTAGATTCACTCAGTTTCTAGTATATTATTTCTAAAGTTTAAACAGCATCTAATAGTATCACCAGTCATAAATTTTGGACTATATGAAATGCTATCAATATTATACTTATTTTTATCATTATCATGATAACCCACAAGCTATTTTCATAGCCTATAATACAATTTTATTTTAATGTATTAATGATAATAAATTAAAAAGGTAAAAATACTGATCATTTTATTTAGGTTAGCTTCTAGTATGCAAAACCTGATTTCAATTTTCCTAAGAAATTTCAAAGAATAGAATTTTAAAGTTTTACAACAAATCCATTTTGCCTTTATCTATAATATCAACTTCAAAATAAAATAATCCACATTGCTCAGGTTGGAGTAGAGTTTAATGCTAAACAAGTATGTGATGTAATTATATAGTATAACTTATTATTGTACTCAATATTATGATTTTATTCATATGTTATGTTACTAAAACTAAATTTTTTTTAAAGTATAATAAAATTTAATTTATATTATAAAAATAAATTTATAGAGATTTATTTTGTATATACTCTAGTTGTTAGGAACTTTGCAAAAATTACGTAAATATCTATTTTTAATTTATTATATACTAAATAAGAGTTTAGGTTACATTACACTATATAAATAAATATTGAAAAATTAGAGAGTATATCATATGTTATGATGTTGAGTGTGGTTTATCATACTGAATTGTTTAGGGATTTCACTAATTTATTACCATCTTTTTGATTGGTCAGCATTTCTACAATTATGATTGGCTGAAATCAGATCGCATGATCGATATGATCGATATCATTCATGGTCTAAATATATACATCACCTAATATTAGTTCTAAACTTTACATTTTTTAACAAATAAAATTTTTCATTTATTTTAGTATCTTACTAACCTTAAACTAATTCTAAACTAATCTTAAACTAACCTTAAACTAATCCTAATTCTAACCCTGAACTAATCCTAAATTTACCCTAATACTAACCTTAAGTAACTCGCATTTTACACAAAAAAAGATTTAATACAAAATATAAATAATATAAATAATATTCGAAATCATATAAATAAAATAATTTATTGAAATATATTATAATAAGTCATTTTAAAT